CTTCCTCAGAACAACATCCTCCAGAGCACCCCTGAAGTCTTCCCCTTTTCTCACTATGCAACTTTCCAACTCTTTCCTGCCTTTTAGTCTCTGCCAAACACATGTGCTGGTGGTTGACTCCCTTGTTATAGCTACTTCTGCATAAACAGCTTTTGCTTATTCTTGTTTGGGTTGTTTTCATCTATTTCTACATATAGCTAAACTGCATTTTTAATTTTTATACATAAATGCATCAGAATGATAAGGCAAGCAGAATGTTTTTCCTAGGAGCTGGATGGCAACTCGACATCTAATAACGTATGATACCATCCCCCACTCCAATCCCTACAATAACTGCAGTTGTGGCAAGAGGATAAAAAACACAGGTTATAAAATGTATATAGTTTATCTCTAGTCTTTTTGATAACCATTGATTATCTTTCTTTTCTGTAAAATTACATATCTGTACTGGATAACAACTACACACATCTATACCACATTTAACTACAAAACAGTATTTTTTTTGTATTTCCTAACTTAACAGATCATAACTTTTTGAAGAAGGAATAATTAGTTTAATATATTTATTAGGCAATTTCTTAACTGATTCAAGATAACTATCATCTGGACCTACTAGTTTAGATTTATTGTAATTGTCAATATATTCCATTACATTATTTTGTTTCTTGCAGAGACTGATAATTCAATTTTTAACCTTTACTAAGCTGAACTTTTAAAACTTTAATATTCTCTAGGATGTTGTGATTTTTACAAGTAGAGAATACATTCTTTTTTCTTTTTTTCTCCTTTTCCTGTTTTCTTCCTCTTCTCCCCAACTTTTTACAAATGAATTTGAGATTTAAGGGATTTTTTTGACCTGTGTTGTTCTCTCCTGCAGCCCCAGCACCTAAATAAAGCCTGGCATGATAAAGTAAATGCGCAATAAATATGTTAAAAGAACTGTATTTTATGAAGAAATAAAGATATTATTGAAAGTTATAAAATAAAATGAGATACTACCACACACCTTTCAAACGGCCAAAATCTGGAACATCGACAACATCGAATGCTGGCAAGAATGTGGAGCAACAAGTCTTCTCTCTCTCTCTCATTCACTGATTATGGAGATGAAAAATGGGGCAGCCACTTTGGAAGACAGTTTGGTGGTTTCTCACAAAGTTAAAGATACTTTCACCATATAATTAAATAATCGTGCTCCTTGGCGCTTACCCAAAGGAGTTGAAAACATGTTCATACAAAACTTGCACATGGATGTTTATAGCAGCTTTATTCATAATTGCCAAAATTTGGAAGCAATTAAGATGCTCTTCAGTAGATTAATGAATAAACTGTGGTATATCCAGGCAATGGAACGTTATTCAGCAGTAAAGAGAAATGAGCTATCAAACTATGAAAAGACATGGAGGAAACGAAAATGCATATTAGTAAGTGAAAAGTCAATCTAAAAAGGCTACCCACTGTATAAATCTAACTATATGACATGCTAGAAAAGGCAAAACGATGGAGACAGTAAAAAAAAATCAGTTGTTGCCAAGAGCTGGGCAGTGGGGAGGGATGAACAGGCAGAGCGAAGAGGATTTTTAGGGCAGTGCCGCCACTCAGTATGATACTATAATAGTGCACACATGTCATTATACTTTTGTCCAAGCCCATAGAATGTACACCATAGAATGAACCCTGAGGTAAACTATGGACCTTGGGTGATCATGATGTGTCAATGTATGTTCATCATTTGCAACAAAGGTACCACTCTGTGGGGATGTAGATAGTGGGGTGGCTATGCAGCTGTGGGGACAGGGAGGATATATGAGAAATCTCTGTACCGTCTTCTTAATATTGTCACAAATCTCAAACGGCTCTAAAAAGTATTTTTAAAAAAGTTGTAAAAGAACATTACATCTCTTTATTTTTAATTCCCCAATCAGGTATAAGTGGTCAGGGTAAAAAGTCTAATAGTTGAATTTCCTGTCTCTTTATCTGAAACCAAACCAAGAGCAAATGACTCTATTAAAGCAGGAAGCATCAGAACCAAAGCTTTGCTGCCGTGGAAGAGGGGTTCTACGCAGGTTAGTATGAGTAGGCAGAAAGCCAAGTCAAGCAGTCACCATTTTAACCCCACCCCTAAATTCACTAGTGTGGTACCAACCCATATTTAAGCTCCTCTAAGCCTTATTTGGAAAAAAAATTACAACAAATAATGGTATCTCCCTCATAGCTTTGCTCTTAATATAATGAGATGTATGCAAGATATAGTTCACTTTAGCCACGAACAATAAAAATCTATAAATATTTTAAATTGGGGTCACTGTCTCAGAATTCCACAGCCCTTTTAGTCAACATGGGTATAGTAGACACTAGAGCACTAGAGAGAGGTAAGAACAGGCCTTATCCTTGGGATATTTACATTCCTCATGAAATAACTGAAGGGCACTTACAAAGTAACCTGAAAATGAATGTAAATGATCCTCTTTATAAAGAGAGAGACAGCAATGTATATTTCCCTGGTAGCAGAGAATAAGAGACAGAGACCTTTCATGTCAGTTAACAGCAATGTATACTTCCCTGGTAGCAAAGAATAAGAGAAAGAGATCTTTCATTTCAGTAGCCTTGGCACTGACATTTTTAATAATGGCATAGAGTTCCCTCTCTCTGTCCTCAATAGTAAGTACACCATGTACACCTGACCCAGGTTGGTTGGGAGGTGGCTGGGAAGGCTTTTACCAAACACCAAACTTTTGTTCGGTGCTCAGACGCTAGACTAAGCACCGGGGTCACAGACATAAAACAGAGGAATTCACCATCTAACCCTAAGGTAAACTATGGACTTTGAGTGATCATGATGTGTCAATGCATTTTCATCATTTTATGCCAATGTATGTTCCTCATGTCTGATGAGGAAAACAAAAGTTCTGATAAATGCTATGATAACACAAAGGAGCTCTGGAGAGCGACATAACCAGCTTGGGAGTAGGTTATGCGTCCACTGAGCTGAGCCTTCAACAGGAGGGAGGCAGTGGGTAGGGGAGAGAATGACAATCTGAGGGAGAAAGTAACATTGGCATATTCCAGGAGGGCTGGAGCAAAGGCAGCATGAAGGGGGTGGTGGCTCAATTTTAGCTCTGTCAAAAGCTAATAACTATATTTGAAGTTCCCTATATTTGAAGAGCTAATATAGTTATTAGCTATGTCAAAAGCTAATAACTATATTTGATATCACCTGAAAATGTAAAGAAAGTTGAGAGCTGTAAAAAATTTATATGACAACCAATTAATTCAGCAATTAACATTTTTAACTAGCGAGAGACACTCTCAGATTTGTACTTCAGTATGATAATGCATATCATTACTAGACTTATTGAGGTGATGATTTTATGTTATATAAACGTCTAATCACTATGTTAACACCTAAAACTAATATAATATTATGTCAACCATAATTTTAAAAAATTTATTTAAAAATAAAAATAAATTTTAAAGTTTAAACTTTAAAATAGGTAACTTTTTCCCTCTAACTTCATCATTATTAAAGTATTTATTTTAAATATATTTAAAATTATTTTCAAATATATTTACTCAGCTTTTTTCAGGTGACACCTAAATGAGCTTCAAGCCATTAGTATTTACCAAAAGGCATAAAAACATTCGAGAAATAAAATTACATCCAGTTATAAGATTAAGAAGTTCTGGGGATCTAATGTACAGCATAGTGATCATAGTTAATAATATTGTATTATATACTTGAAAGTTGCTATGAAAGTAAATCTTAAACGTTTTCACCAAACACACAAAAGAAATTATGTGACAGGATGGAAGTGTTAGCTAATTTTATGGTAGTAATCATTTTGCAATATATAAGTATATCAAGTGAGCACTTCATACACCTAAATTTACACAATGTTACATATTAATTGAATTTGAAAAGAGTTGGGGAAAAAAGAAAATTCTTTTTCTTCCTTTATTTCAAATGAGTACTATGTCTTGAACACATATTTCCCTCTTTTGGATATCAATGCAAAAATATATCTTTGCCACCCTAGCACGTAAAACTTTGTCATATTGTTTACTTTCTGCATGTAGTTACATACCACTTAACTATAAAGGGATGCATGTTTCACCCAAAAGGCCAATATCCTCTGACCCTAAACACCTAACATATGTGTGTATATATATGTATGTATATATGTATATATATACACACATATATGTATATATATATACATATGTATATATGTATATATATACACACATATACAAACATGCATATCTTCTCATTCATCATATCGTGTTCATGTTATCACGATTCATTGTCCTATCAGGTGATAATCATTATTAATTCAGCAATTTAAATACTTGCTGCATCTTCTATCATGCACAAGACACTCTGCCGAAGGAGGTAGAGAGCCGAGTAAAACAATTCTGTTCTTAAAGAACTTGCCAATGGTGGGAGACAGGTAAAGAATTTAATACAAATAAGATATGCCAGAAACACCATAGAAAGGTATAAATAAAGACAAGATTCAAATAAGGTTAACATTTCATCTTGTTAGAGTGATCAGAAAATGATTCATGGAAAGAAACTAAAGATTAGCTGAATTTGATGGGAGTTAGAATGGAAAGAAAGACAGGAAGTGAGAGAAAGCACAGGGGAGGCTGAGAAAACTATAAGGAGTCTGGTTTGGCTGGAACAAAGTGCACAGGATGGAATGACAGGCAAGATTGCTAGAAAGTTAGGACCATTAGGAGATCCTAAATTCTGCTACATTTTTAATAGGAAGTTATGTAACTGGAGCCACATTTTAGTACAAATAATCTGGCAATGGATATTCAGGACAGATTCAGATGGGTAGAAAGTAGAAGCAAAGAGACCTGTTAGAAGGCATTCACAGAATCTAGGCAGGATGTGATTAAGACCTGACCCAGGCGCCCGCTTTCTGCAGAAATGAGAATGCCAAAGAGAAATAGTTGGTAGTGCACCACCACCATTCATAACCAGCACTCACCTCCACATTTCTACTGCTCCTCCCACTCCTCTGGCTCCACAGTCCGTGGTGAGGAGCCAGGAGGGCAGAGCTGCTGGGCAAGTACATAGTGATGGCTAAGGCACAGACCCAGCTGCCAACAAGGTGTTCTGTTAAAAGTCATCCCAGAAAAGTGGACTCTTGCAAGCCAGCTAAAATATTTTAAGTAGCAACTCTGAGTAAAAACTATTACCAAAATTTATTCTATCTATACTTTAAAAATTAAGTCGAGGAACATTTCCCCTATCTGGCAGTGTCGCAATACATCAACGTCAGATATTTAAAAGTTTAATTTACTTTTTTGAATAGCCACAATCACCATACATGAGTCTTTGGTGCCCCCTTGTGGAATATTTAGTGTGAACTTTGAAGTATTTACCCTCCACACAGAAACAATAACGGGTATTTCTATCTTTTAAGACATTTAAAGCATTTTCTACATATGTTACACTATTTTTGAGAGACACAATTTAAAATAAAGCCATGTAAATAACTTAATACAAACAAGGAACAGAAATCAAATGTTGAAAATGTTCAGTAAATTATTTCATCATAAGTTTATGACAATTTTGCGGTCATAAATTAAGCAAAGATAATGGAAAAACAGCTTTACACAGTGTTAACTATCAAAAATGTTTTCTCAACAGCACTTCTACCCTTAGATTCTTGCTAAGGAATCCATAATGACTTTATTAAGTATTTAAATAGCCGGAATAAATTTAAAAATCCATTTTTGCGCTCATAGATATGATAGTATAAAGCGATCAGATAATGCTTAAATTGTTGTTTCTCTTTATATTACTTATCACAAGTTCCTCATCATCTTTTCCCAAGCAATGGGGTCAGAAGTAGGATTAACCTGTCCTTCCTGAAAACAAAGTCAAATACAAAGAATATTGCTGCCTATTAGCAAACAAGGCTGTCAAAGGGACAGACCATAGGAGGAAAGATATAAAGGTTCTTATTCTAAGTCAGTGGAATGTAAAGCATTTATTGATTTTCTCCAGAATTAACAGTCATTCTTTTCCTTATGTTTTTATTTAGAAGCAAAACAAAATACAAAAATAAAGTACCAAATTTAATCTCCCTCGTTTTGCTATCTTCTTGAGGACACGGAGTAGACCAACGATAAATGTTTGGTGAACTTTTTCTTATTATTTTTTCTCACCATAATCAAAACCTGTAAGAATGTAGTAATTACTGGAATGTGGTAATACTTTGGGACTGGAACAGTGGTCTTTCTCTTGAATTGAGCTCTCAGATAATAGTGTATTCATGTAATTCATTTACTTTTTCAAATGATGGAGTTGTTTAAGCCACTCATGAACTAAGGAACTACTCTATTCAGGCAAAATTGTTCTAAATTAGAATTATTTTTTTCTTGGTATACCAATGATATTTCTTAAGAGGCAAACAATTTTCCATTTAAGACATGCTAATTATATGCATACTGAATTTATTAACAGGGGTTCTGTAAAGAGTTTTGTCATGTATAAGTGGCAGATTACCTCTTCTAGAATCCTGGCTCTCCCTACTTGCTGTCTGTGTGATTTAACCTGATTAGATTTAACCTGATTCTTGGTTTTCTGATGTATAAAAGGAATAAGATAATAACTGCCTTAGAGAGTTACTGTGAGGAATAAATGGGTTAACACATGTAAAGGATTTAGAACAGTGCCTATATATAGTAAATGCTCAATTCACAGTTGGATAATTTCAGACATCTTTTACAAGCAAGTTAAAGGTTGACTTTACAGTTTCTTTCGGTATAAGCTATTGATATTAAGGTCATATGTTCTATCCCCACAAATACTATTTCATTTTATTCTATTCACGTGTAGTCAAATGTGTACTAACACATATTGGTGTACCACATAGAGTTTCAAGAGTGATTTCACAATACATCATCTCTTTTAATTTTTCTTATTTATAGATAAAAAGAATAGGCTCAGAATCAAGAAGTGACTTGCATAAGAGCACAGTTAGTACATAGTTCAGGATAACAACTAGGGCTTTTGACTCCTAGCCTAGCACTCCTTCCATTAAGCCCTAACAAGCTGTAAGAAAAATCAGCTAAAAGAATGAGTAAACCAAACAAATCCACTGATTAAATGTTAAAAACAATTTAAGAAATCATTTAGATTCCACTTTTTTGTTTAATGAAGCATTCACTGAAATCAAACACTAAGAAATTAACAAATTATTAGGATAGAAGTATAATGGTTTAGTAGGATAGAAATTACTAATAGCACTAAAAAAATCTACTCATTCAATAAATATTTATTCAGTACCTTCTACTTGCATGGCACTAGGCTAGGTACTAGGGATGCAATAGCATTTAAATTAAACATGATATAGTTCAGGACTTCACAGACTTTATACTTTATGGAGAAAGAAAATTAAATAAGCAATTTAAAGAAAGTGAACTAAGTGCCATGACAGTGGAAGAACAGGATGCTATGGGAGCATATAGCGAGGGTAACTACTCCAATCAGTTACAATAATACATAATGATTTACAATAATTAGGATAATGTTGATTGTTTCCTGGACAGCTGGAGCCTTTGTTTAATAAAGTTGTTCATGAATACTGTATGATTTTCTTCTAGTTAACCTACTTACCTCTTGACCCTATCATAAATATAAAACTTATCTTTTAAATTCTTAACTCTAATCATTTTTCCTCAGAAAGTTTTATTATAAAATCATTAAAATGTGTTTTCAGTCCTTATACTATTTCACTCATAACTATTTGATCGTAGTGCTCAAATTTTAATTAAGTCAAAATATAAAATTTTGAATTTCCATTGTTAACAGTACCTACGGAGGAACACATTCAAATTATTGACTTATAAAATTAATGTTGTAAAAATCTACTTTTTCACCACCAGAGTGAAATAAAATATTACATTCTAATAGACTGGGTAAGCACAGATGACAAACGTGACCACACAGGAAAGGCAGTGTGATTGTAAAGCATAAGACAATAACAAAGTGCCTCGTAATGGACTGGAAATAGGACTCCAGATTCCTGCAGGGCACTACTGACAATTTCATGTATCAAGAGGTAAAAGAAACACTTGCCTTTCCTTTTCCATTATTCTGTAAAAAAATATAAAAACTCATAAGATAATGGGAAATGTAAACATTTAAAATTACATAGACAATCTTGCTTTTCATTTAAAAAAAAAATCATTAAACTGGATCTGTGATTTTTAAGACCTAAAAAGCCACTTTTGGAATGGCATTTAGGCAATGCAGATATCAAGAGCATAAAATAGCAAAAATGTACATATGACTTGGGAAGATATGATTTGATCAGAGCCAGAGGAAGAGAGGCCACAAGATTAAGTACCTAGTTTGGATTAAATCGGAGTTGATTTAATAAATTACGAGAATCAAGACTGGGAATAATTCCTAAAAACAAAGGAACTTCTCTAATGGAGAAAAAAAGTAAAGCCTCAGTTGAACAACATTGATAAGTATATTGATCCTGATGTAGAAAATAATTCAGGAAATTAAATAGATATTGAAAACTAAACTTGGTTAGAATTAAATAAATCAGAATATGTGATGTAAAATTTATGGACTGTGTAACATATTAAATAAACTAACAATTTATTCATATTTATATTTAGCTTTCAAAATTCTTTGTTTAATTAGAAAGGATATAGATAAAAATTTAATATTTAGCAGTCAATCAAAAATTTTTAGTGAATTAAACTACAAAATTTAGAGATTTTCCAAATATATTGATATCTAATTCATACTTTAAAATTATCTAATCACACTTTTAAAAATGTATAAAAGCTACATTTTAAATATGTGTGTGTAGTATACACACAGACATATACATACATCAGTTATCTAGATACAATTATGAAACTATCTTCAAATTTTCCCCTGGGTTTAATAATTTGTTTAGCAATAGAGCTTATCTCTCTTTCTTGCTGCTGTTCTATAAATGAAACATGTAACCTCAAATAATTTTTGAAAAGAGGTACATTATAAGCAATTTAACAAAGTTTCTTATTTAAAAAAAACAAAAAAACAAAAAAACCTATCTTTTCCAAGCAGCCCACGTTTGTCACAATATTTACACCCAGGCTAGAATAAACAAATGAAATCTGTGACTATAGCTCTAGAATTTTAAAAAGTACTTATATGAAGTATGTGACTTATAAGAGTTTATTGACTAAGATTCCCATTATGAATAACCACATATGTCTAATAATTTGTTTATATCTTCTCAGTTATCAATATTAAGTAAATTTTATTTACCAGAAGTCTGCCCAAATATGACTCTCACCAACTCATGAGAAAGATTGAAATTATAAATTCAATAGAACTTCTGAAAACATTTTATTTAGATTTCATTTTAAATACTCATTTTCTAAATCTATAAGACCATCTATCTCAAGTTAAAAAGTTTTACTATTTGGAAAAAACTATTATTTAAAAGTGATTGAAGAACATTTCAACACATAGTGATGAAATGCACAATTTTTAAATATTACATGAAACAGTTAAATACATATATATGGTAACATTGAAAATTCTTTATTTAAAATACTAAGTTATTAAAACTGGTAAAAGTGACATAGTAAAATAAAATTTCTTCAAAAACTCACTACTTGAAAGAAAACATACAATGACATGGATTATAATATATACAAAATAGGAAATAAATCATCATCTGTCATTAATGGGAAAATTTGTATGCTTTCAAAAAATTCATAATTTTAAGTCAGACAAAATGTTGCTTAGGGGAATGCTTCTTTTATAAGTCTCTTTAAAGGCGTTTTAAATTCCGCTTACTCTGGGCACTTCCTGGAAGAGCATCTTTTCTATTTCTTGGATTTGCTGTTCCTCTACTACATTCTTCAGACCCATGATAAGCACACAAACATAACACACAAAAGTCAAAACCACAGGTTCTGCGGCTACATAGTCCCCTTTTCTTATATGGCTGGTACTTAGCAGGGGATTGGCACCTTGGGCAAGGTTTTAATGCTTCATCGATAAAAAGTGTTTTGGCAACCTGCAGTGAAAGCATATACACTAAATCTTCCAGTTTCATATAGAGAATCGCTTATTTCAAACTCTGTAAATATTTATTTCTAATAACTTATGATAAATACTCACCTTAACATATTCTTCCTGTTTACTATGTGAGTGAGTAACTGAAGAGCTTGCTATAGGTGTCAAAACTTCTCCCCAAGGAGAAAATGTTGAAACTTGTTCTTTCTGAGAACCTGGTATCCTAGCCTGAGCTTGTACAGATCTTAAAGCGGATCGATTTAAAAGATGGAGCCGAGTGGCAGCATCCTGAACATTTAAAATAGCCCCCTGTGGTAAAAGACAAGAGGGGTCAGTACTGTAATATCAAAAGTTCCAAGACAGCTTTCTGATGCACATGTATTTAAATGTTTGGAAGTGATTTCATATCACTAGAATTTTCTTCCTAAACCTTTCTTCTTTAGAATTTTTTTCCTCTTAGCTAATACTTAGAAGTCAAAGAAATAAATATAAAAATTCAAAACAATAAATGTTAGCTTTAAGTTTTCATGATTGGTTATTTTTCTGTTTAAGGCATGAGTTGGCAGCATTCTTCTAAAAAGAGCCAGATAGTATACATTTTACACTTCTCAGGGCAGATAGTCACAGCTACTCTACCGCCATTTTAACAATGAGATATGAAAATGAGAGAGCAGGACTGAGTTTCAAGAAAACTTAACTTAAAAATACAGGTGACAGACAGGATTTGGCCCACAGACCAGAGTTTGCCAACCCCTGTTTTAAGTCAAGGTCTAAGAAGAGGTGGGTCCTTTTTAAAGTTTGCTATGGGATATCTTGAAATTCTTTGAAGGTTTCTTACTTTGCCATATGTTAAAAGAATAATGAGCCTGGTTAGACCATGACAACCAATTTGTCTGGCTGTTTTTGCAATTCTTATAAATACTTGATTCATTTTACCTTTAAGTTTTAAACAGCTTTGATATTTTAAATGGAGAAGTAGATATCGCTTTTATCTGAACTGGATTTCCATATCAAATATTCATCAAAAAAATATTTTCAATGAGTAATCATTATAGCCTTCTACTTTGTTAAAGTTGGTGATAAAAAAAAAAGTAAGTTTTTTTTTTAAAAAACAAACTGGCATTCTTAACCACTTATCAAAATAAAATGTAAGTGGGTGAATTTCCTCATGTGTCCAACTATAATTGTGCTTCCTCTCCCTTGATAGTCTCCCTTAGCCACAGTTGCTTCCTAATAGTGGGGAGACCTAAAACATGAAAAATTTTAGTAGGATAAATATAGGAAATGAGGTTAGCTGGTCATGAAAAATTACATGATTAACAATTTAACAATATATGCATATGTGTAATGGATGAATACTGGTTTTCAGAAATTAGTTGACAAATTTCAAGGACTCAATACATCTCTATATTACATTTGTATAAATGATTTGCAGCCTGGGCCACAAGCACATGACACAAGAGCACACTAAAATTTCAATGGATTTTGATGCAGTTGGTAAACAGTGATTGTGCATGCACCAAAAAAATGAACAGAGATATTTTGTTGAAGCAAATTTCAGCCACAGAAGAAACATTCATTTATTTGACAAATATTTACAGAACACCCAAAGGTGCCAAGTGAAAAAACAATTTAATCCTTGTTCTCCTGGAGCTTAAAATGTGTGCTACTATCTTTGAACGATATAAGGCAAAGCAGTTAGTGACGGCAAAAATTTCTGAAATATAGTCATCATCATGTTGCCAGGAACATTTAAATGTGAGAGCAGAGTCACCTTATGGTTGGTCATTTCCATGATTACAGTAACTTTAGAAATTCAATGGAAAAGGTGTAGTATTCCAATTTTAATGCTCATTTCTCACTGCTATAAAGCAAACATAAAATTGAGATCCTATTACATGTAGCTGGTCTGTGCCTTCAAAATTTCACACTAAAGAGCTTTCAGTGACGCTATACAAGTATGAGGAAAACCGTCTAACGACTTTGTTTTATAACTTTTGTTTTAGCTGATGATACATTAGGATAGTCCAAGTAGAAAGCAACCAGTCCATATCAGAATGAGAGGGGCAAGGGCACCAGGAAGGATGTCTCTGAGGATAAAGAGGAATGGGTAGAATATCTGATTTGTTTGGACTTACAGAGGAGATTTCCAGTTCTGGTGGATAATAGGAGATGAATCAGGGGTCTGTATAGAGAAACACTAAGCAAAAAAGAAAGAAACTGGGAAATTATTAACTCTGGGGGGGAAAAGCTCTATTAAAAAAAAAGGTGTAATCATACGTACCATATATCACAGCTGTCAAAAAGTCATGATAATCTCAATACAGTCTTCATAATGTCAGCACCTAATTCTGATTCAATCCCAAATAATGGTGATTCATTAAGATAGGAGAAAGGGAGAAAGGCATTCAGAGAGAGGTGGATAGGCAGGTAGTGGTAGTAGTGGTGAGAAGTTAAAAAACAATTTCTCTATAGAAAATAATGCCAAGAAATAGAAGTAAATGCATGCTACTTAGAAATGTGGATGTAAACTTCAGAAGGAACAGCTTAAGAGTTTAAAGTAATTGCTTTGATGGGGCAAGAATCAAGAGTAGGAAGAGATAGGGCAAAAGAATGTGTTTTGTTACAAGCCTCATCATTCAATTTGGCTTTTTTAGCCATGTATATGTTTTACTTTGGAAAATAATAAATAAAAAGCAAGCCAAAATAAGAAAAAAAAAGTTTAAGTAAGGAAAAAAGTATAGCACTTTAAGAAACTAAGATTTAAAAAAAGTGGTGGGTAGGCTATGAAAACAGAATATTTTATTTAGAATTACCTGAAGGGTTGCCAAATACAACCACAGGTTTCTTCCTTGTAGTATGTAAGGAGCACATAGAGCTAAAAGTTTAACATTAATAGATGCTGGCTTAAAAATTGTTTATTATGTCCTTCCCATGTAGGGCAGCACTCTAAAAAGATATATTAGGAAGACAATTAATATCTTCACTATTATCAGCTCCCAGAGCCAGCAGCTGTAGCCATAAGTAGCCAGGATCTGTGAATCAGTCATAAGGCAACCAAATAGGTGAGAAAGTAAAACTTTTCTTCAGAGTAAAATAGAAATTTAATGCTTTAGTTAACAGCAGTCACTAATATTTCATTGTAATGAGAAACCTACGGAGCTGTATCTAGGTTTCATATTTGTTTATGCCACACTTCATCTCAATTATTATATTTAACCAAATTAGAAATTTACTTATGTTATTAAATCCTTATTACTAGAACAAGAATAAGGGGGTAAACTCTCAAGAGTGTCTTCTGGTATGGATGCCTAAGAAAGATCTAAAAGTTGAACATACAATAAATATGAGTGCCAGTCATCAGATGCCATTACACCAAGTAGCGTCTCTAGGAAGAATTAATCAGCTTCCGTAGAACTTGTAACTTCAAGGCTGCACCTCAGAGTTTCAAGGGAGTACATGTTTCTGATGCTATCCCGGTACTAATCTGCCATGCTCACTCACCTCCATGCCTTCATACATGCTATTCCCTCTGCTGAAACACTATTGCCTGCCTTCACCTGGCTAACTGCAAGTTCATCATTCAGGTTTCAGCTGAGATGCACTTTTTCTGAAAAGCCTGCTCTCGATTCTCAAGTATCAAACACTGCTTTTAAGTGTTTCAATAGAACTAACTCTGGGTTTCCCCTAACACATCTGTATTGTAATCACCTGTTTACCTGTATCACCCATAGGGTATGAGCTCCAAGAGAACACAGACCATGTCGGAAATGTTCACCATTGTAATCTAAGCAACTGGCACATAATACCCACTCAAAATACTAAATGGAGAATGCTATAAAGATATCTAACTTTGAATAGGATTCAGCATATCACTGGTATTCAAATACTGCCAACAGCACATATTCTTAAACAACAACAAACCCAACAAGATGTTCTTGATGCTAGGTAGAGTTTGGGAAAAGTAAAGACTTTTATGAGGGAATGTTTGCTAAATGGAAAAGGTTAAAAGATAGCAAGAAAACCAAATTAGGTTGTCCGGCAATAAGGGGTTATTTATATTTAGAATCCATTCTGGAAAAGTATGATATACATTACCTCGGAATCTGTTTTCAATTGTGCGATATAAAATTTCCTCCTCCGATTTGCTTTTTTATCTTGAACAATAATTTCACGCCAATTTCTGCTCACTTTCCAAACACTATAACAAAAAGATCAGTCCTTATATTGTACATATTCCACAAGATCAACATTTTCTTGCACATGATCAAGTCTTTTTGGAAAGGTTTAAAGAAAAACTTTTAAAAAGATTTTGGACAGTAAATTTAAACCTAAAAATTTACATTAAAAATATGACTTAAAAAATAAAAATTAAAATATTAAAATTAAAATATGATTTGATCTACATCGTTGTTTCATATTGTTTCACCACATGAAAGAAATCCTATGAAAGTATTAAATATGCCAGCATTATGCTGATAGATTATCTCGTAAATGGTTAAGGGAAAAACATAGTTTCATATAAAGCCAATAGGAGTCCATAGGGAGACTGATTATGAGGATTTAACTTTAACTGTGACACTAAGATTGGAAATTTGGGACACAACTTGCAGCAAATGATTATCATCTATAACACAAGTGGTTTTTATCAATTTCTCCTATCAATGTATTTAACAAATCTGTTATTTTGATTAAACAAACATGAGAACAATCAATCTTTCATTGGAAGTACTAAGCGCCAAATAATAAATATTATTATGAGTAGCACTACGAAGTTCCTATTTTATAAACCAAAGTTTATGAGAATGAAGCAGCTAAAGAAAAAAAACAATACATGTCTAATGATTGCTTATTTACCAATAACTTCGACTTTACTAATTAGTAAAGATAATCCTTCAACTGTTAATTTGGTCTTTTTTTATTACTCTAACAAATCAAAGGGAGTAAGATCAGACGGTTAAAAAAAGTCACTCAGGTACTACTTAAGTTGTCAGCACTACTATTCTCCCAGCTACCATGGCCTCTTCAGTTGCCATTGCTCTAAGCTGATCCATGTATCTTATATCAGGATGATGAAGAGGAATAGGCAGAACATCACTCATTAATGGGGAATAAATGAACTGTATATTTGGGTATTTGCCAAAGCTATTTCAATGGAACATAATCTCAAATTACCAAGAATAAACAATGCTAACATTATACGTGCATTCTGCAGTACAAACACTATAAATTTGGAGGGCTGGGCAGGAGAGGTAATTATTGAAATATGACTCAATATCAACTGCTCCCACAAATGAGTACCAAAAAGTATCATCCAAGTTTTTATTTTAACTAGTCTATATTCAAATACTCCAGCATATAAAAAATAAAATTCCTGTATCTTAGCCATCTCTTAATCTTTTAAATGAATAATTTATCTCATTTGAACATTTTTAAAAGGCATACATACATAGGTGCACTAATCTGTTTATTATCCTACTTGGGTTAGACCAAATACATTTCTGATCAAGTCTTTTTGGAAAGGTTTTAAACCTTAAGAGTTTGTGGGAAACTACTGGATTAGATATTAGAGGACTTGATTATAAATCTGGATCTATTTTTATCTCCTTGAGTGACTATTGGCTGGTCACTTAACTTCTCTGGAGCTCAGTTTCCTCATCTGCATAATACATAACTGGACTAGATATCTCAGATTTCTAGCTATGAAATTCCACAATTCTCTATAATAGCCTCTAATTATTCATGGGAGAAAGGTGAAGAAGGTCTCTTTAGAAGTAGTAGCCATAAAAACAGCAAGGACTCAATGAATCAAACTCTAGACAAAATGCTTTTGAAAAAGAGGTTCACTAATTCTCCTGCGTGTCTTCCCCAAACCACCACTTGGCAGAAATGCTGTTACACATGGCTTCCCTCCTTCCCAAGGGCCTTGATCTCTGACGGTCCTGCAACTCCCCAAAATTGCCCATATGAACAGTCTCACTTTAGTCTTTGTAACCCTAGTTCCCACCCCCAACACTCCAAAATGCCTGACTTAGTTCCTCTTTGTGTAGCAGCACTCAGTATACCGAAATCTCTGTAATCACAAATTCTTCAGTTTCTAATTCCTTGAAATTTCCAAAATTAATTAATTTCCACTGCTGTGTTAGCAATTAAAATGAAATAATTCATATTCCCAAGCCCTAAAATGAAAGCTAACCACTATTCTTGGATTCTAGAACTTAAATAAATGGTATCCTTTGTATGTTGTCATTTCTTAGTCACCATAATGCTCTACATTATTTCTGATCAAGTATCATAACTTTAGTACAATTTGCAATCTGAAACCAGGATATGAACTATTAAATAAGTCATTAAATAACTATCATGGAATAAAGCTTGCCATTTTGAAATTTTAAAGTTTTACTTTTAGGAACCCTCTTCTCAAATGATTGACATGAACTTTATCCATAAGGAGACTATACTGTTGCTTCTAAAGAAGACTTTTTTAAATGTTAGGAATTATATCAGTAAGTTCTATCAGGAAGTTCACTAAACCACCTTTGATATAGTGTAAGACAATTGAAGACAAATAATAAAACAAAAAACAGAACTACTTAGCTCATAGAAAAGCTTTTCAACTTAAAAAAAAAGTGATAAAAGGCAGTTTTATTTCAGAAAAAAAAAAATTTATTTCTTACCTGCATAGGCTTTCTGCAGTCAAGGAATCTAAAACCATTGCAAGAATGTGCTTTAAATTTCTACATTTTAATTCTGTTAAGATGTCCAGTTGTTCTACACCCATTTTCTTGCCAATTAGTCCTGCAAGTACACACTGCAGCACAGCTATTTTCCCTCTATCCCTTTCTTCTAAGAATTCGTGTGCACTGTTTTGCTGGAATCTTTTCCTTTTGCTTTTCATAAACAGCTCATGCACTAATTGCAAGGCTGGGGTCTTTGATAAATTCTTAAAGCTCAAAATCAAATCCCCACTCTGCCTGTCACCACTAGGCTGACTCTCTGAGATGTCTGAAGCAGCTGCTGGTGTTGTTTCAGAGTCAGAGTGGATGATTTGCTTTTCCTCTTCTGTCTCTGATTGTGAGCCTTGCTCCCGAAGGGTAGACAGTCTTCTCAACCTTCCAAGACGCCTTGACCCAACTTTGAAAGTTCCCTTATGTTTCTGAAGTAGTTCTTGAAAAGAACCCTCCTGGTCAGAGAGGGAATCTTCTGATTTATCCAAGCAAAGTGAGTTAAAACCACTGTCTGCAGGGGTTGAAATATTGCCCCTCACTTCAGTTGAAGGAGAAAGCCTTTGACTTGCCTTAAATTTAATGTTTGCTACAAGGTTACTTATTGGGGTCACAAAAATATCCTCATCTGTTTCACAAGTTGTCCCACTATCAGAGGAGCCCAGAAGTTCTGGATATGTATTCTCATCATTAACACAGAGACTGCTATCACTTAAGTCATGGGTGAGAGAGTCTCTAAAATTATTGCCCTGAATCGGAGATATACACTCAACTTCAAACAGGCTACATTCATCTTTGGAGTCATCAATTGTGGAAGTCTTCTGCTGAGAAAAATTAAGTCTGAGTTTCTGACTGCTGGAAGCTGCTTCTTCCGTTTTCAAAGTGCTAGTAACTACAGCACTAAAATTACTTTGCCTTGGAAAACCTGAAGCATTGCTTGGAATATTTTTTTCTAAGTTGAGAACTTGGCTTATACCACTTTCGAGGGAACTATTTTGTGATTCAGAGTTCCCCTTTAGAAGAGAAAAAGATATGTCCAACCTTCTGCGTAGTAAAAATTTTCTTCCCCTGACTTTAGGAGTTTCACAAAGTTCTGGGGTTTTATCCTTTTCCTTTCTAGGGAAGAAGAATCTCTTTTTTTGAGTAGGGGACTCTAAAGGGTGTGTTGAACCCAGACTGAAATTTAATGGTAGGCCTTTTTCTTTCTTTTCAAAAAATTCTTTATCTGTATTATCAAAGCTGCACGATTTTAACAACTCACTGTAGCCACTATCTTGAAATGAAGATGTGGAACTTAAATCTCTGGAGCTGGAGTACTTGCAATCGACAGTAGGAGAGTCCAACTCCTTTCCTGCTCCAGTTTGAGCTTGACCTGAATGCCTTTCTGACATCTTCAAAATCCGTTTCTACAAAGTGAAAACAAATGTTATTCTTCGTTTGAAATGAGTAGTCTGACAGCTTATACCAAAATACATTATTTGTTATGAGTACAGATAATAATGGAAATTTTGTGGCGAAAAAGTTATTTTAAAAATAAATCTACTCTACAATATACTCATGTATATTTTATTTAAAACTACTTTTGACATAAAAACAAAATTTTTCAGTTTGCAAATATTCACAGGTTACTTGACTAAGCATAGTCTAAGCACTATGCACAAATATTTTCTTAAACAGTTGAGGAGAAAAATATCTGGCAACATCAATTTTTTTAAATTCTGTACTCTGCTTTTCTTTTCTTTTTTTCATTTTTTTATTATGGTAACATTGGTTAACAAAATCTAGTAAGTTTCAGGTGTACAATCAGGTGTACAATTTAACAGTTAAGGCATACATATATTTACATTGTGTGTTCACCTCCCATAGTTAGATTCCTTTCTGTCACCACATATTTGACCCCTTTTTACTCCGTTTACCTCTCCCCTCCCCGCTCTCTCCCTATCCTCTGATAACCACTAGTCTACTGTACATGTCCGTGAGTCTGTTTGTCCTGTTCATTTGTTGGCAGCATCATTTTTAGATGATTTTATTACCTTATGATTTTAACAGCGCTGAAGTACATAATTGTAGTTTTAATATTATAGCTCATTTGTGCTGGCCTATAGCTAGTCAGTTGGAAATTTCCTTTCAAATTTCTGGGATGAAATTAAACTGCTTGAAAAATCTATGTGCTAATTTTTACACGTGTCTTTAGGAAATGTTTAAAATGAATACTGCCATCAAATTCAACTGCAATTTGGCTAAGCAACTCCAGGATAATGTTATTCATACTTGTAATAGAGGCCTGCCTCAGAAATTCAGTCCCCATGATCATTCACAAGGTCTGAATTCCCAGACTTACACACTTACAAAGACTCTTTGGCTCACTGATAAATTACCAACACACTCTTCTTATGCTAACCAAAGTGAATCCCTGCTCTACAGATATAGGGCCATTTCGAAGTTGGCATGTTATACTCATTTATGTCTCATCTTCTAAATATTTAGAGACATAAGGTCCAGTTGCTGGTTTGAATTCACAGACAACAGACAACCGACAACTATTTGTGGGGAACTCAACCTTTACAATATTTTTGAAATTTCAAACAAAGAATTCAAGTAAATTACTTAAAGAAGAAATGTGACTCAGTAATTATATTTGTAATGATACTAGGAAATACTTTACTCCTTATTTTCAATAGTTTTACATTCCTTCTTTTTAGAAACTCAAATTAAATCTTAACTCAAAGAAAGCTAAGAAAGTTATCATCATTTCTGATATTTCTCCAGATTATTCAAATGACACTAAGATTGTCATTCTTTCAAAGTTTTTTCCAGACCAAATACACAATTTTTCTCTATTAAAAGATCCTGGGAAGATATATTTTAGTTAGCTATAATGGGAAAGTTATTTATGCCTCAGTTATATCAGTTAAATATGTGAATGCATGAACTTTTTTTTTTTTTTAAATGCTACTCAAATCACAAAATGATCATTATAACTGGGCAAAGTACTTAAGTGTTTTTCAGCCTTTTAAACCTACAGTCTATTCTGGTAAAAACTCACACATGTCCCCTTCTGATCTAGATCCCCTCAGATTGTTAGAATCACTGCTACCTTCTGTTTATGCTTACTAGCTAAGACTATCAAACTTTGCTTTCTATAATTTGTATATTTGAAAACAACTTTTGTTTTCAAAATATTAATAAGATAAAATGTGTTTTCAAATTTCACCTTCACCCACAAATGTTTACCTTCCCTGAAAATTATTCTATTAATAAGTTTTCATTCATGTCCTTTGGTAAAATTAGGTCAAGGAATCATTTTAAAGTTAAAACAAAAGTAACTATTCTACTACTTTACCACTAGGTGTCTCACCTAGCTAGATTTTGGGAAACAGAAGCAAACTTAGAAACAAAGTGGAGATGCAGATAGTCTCTTCCCTTAAAAACCATAGGTTATTTGTTATAAACGTACAAAAAAAGTTTTTTCTTCTAATTTCTTTTCTGTTCATCTATACATTTGAAATCGCCTCAAACGTGCTTTCTCTGCTGTCATCATGTTCATCTTTCCACTACCCCAAGACACTAGTCTCAAACAAAACTTGGTTTTTCAAAGCTTAATTTTTGTATGCCAACTGGAATTTAAAAATTAAAAAATTATTTCAGAAAAACTTAATTTTTAATTAATTTAAAGTTATTTCTGCGATATCATGGAATGCCCATTGAGTTAATTTTACGGATTCAACAGTTCACTAATGAATCAAACAAGCTTCCTCGATATTGTTTTTAACACTAGGCTCCTGATAAAGGGTTGAGAACATTTGTCTCTATAGTGCTCTTAAATTTTTTTTTTAATTTAAAAATGCACTCATCAAATCAGAGAATGAAATGCTATTTAACTATTTTTAAACCAAATCTTCATTTGTTAAAGTGGGAAAATCTTACCATAAGTAAATCTTGAGCTCTTAGATGTCAAAGTTATACAGGCTTCTTCCAAACAAGAAAATCTCTCACTTTGCCTTTAAAATTCATGTCAGAGATATCACTTAAAGAGAAAACTTTAGTTTGAACAATTAATTGAAACGTACAGTAGTAGGGTGACTGCTAACATTTGAAGGGTACGGAAAGTACATTTTGCAGGGATTATTTCTAACACTTGAAAAGGCCTAAACCATTTACCATTTCCTTCAGCTTTCCAGACAGCAGGTATTTTAACAACCTTGTTTTCCCCAGCTAGTCTTGGAACTGAGGGAACATCCCAAATTCTGGTTGCTGAAAATGCAGTGTAAGCCGCGGCGCCGTCATTCACCACCCCGAGGTGCTATGCGCGCAGGTGGGTAACGGCCTCACCAGGGCGTCCCTCCCCGACCTTCCCGAGGCCCGGCTGGCGGGGGAGGCTTGGCTGGGCCGTCAGGGTCCTGGGCCCGGAAAGCCCCCAACAAGCCGAGGGTGGGTGGGAGTCACCTGGACCGGAGCGAGAAAAGTGAACGGTTTCGGGGCGCCTCTCTAGTCCCAGCACCTGGAAAACAAGGTGGGGCGCGGGCCTGGGGTCGCCCAGAGGCCCACTCGCTGGCACACACCTGGGGTCCCCCGCTCCCGCCCACCAGGAGACCGAGGGGCCGCCGCACCGCCGGGCGCGCTGAGGAGAAACCACGGCCTCGCCCCAAGGGAGGCCCGG